AATGTGAAACAGCTTTACGATACAATGAAGAAACTAGCAGGGAAATACAGTAAACCAGAGAGACCGGTCAAAGACAAAGAACGCAAGCCCATCACTGAAATCCAACAACAGCGGAACAGATGGGTAGAATACTTCGAGGGACTCCTGAATAAGCCAGCTCCAATGAATCCACCGGACATCGATGCAGCACACACAGATCTTCCTATAGATGTTAACTCACCAACGACGGAAGAAATCAGAATGACTGTCAGACAAATCAAGAACGGGAAAGCAGCAGGACCCGACAACATACCAGCTGAAGCACTGAAGTCAGACATCGAAGTAACTACAAACATGCTTTACCTTCTATTCAAAAAGATTTGGGAGGAGGAACAATTGCCGATGGACTGGAAAGAAGGACACCTCGTCAATATTCCAAAGAAAGATCTGAGCAAATGTGAAAACTACAGAGGCATTACACTACTGACAGTACCAGGGAAAGTCTTTAACAGAGTTTTGCTGAACCGGATGAAAGATGCAGTAGACCCCCAACTTCGAGAACAACAAGCTGGATTCCGCAGGGATCGATCGCGCACAGACCAAATTGTGACACTACGGATCATCGTCGAACAGTCACTTGAGTGAAAATCGTCACTGTACATCAACTTCATTAATTATGGAAAGGCATTTGACAGTGTAGATAGGAGGACGTTATGGAAACTTCTTCGACACTACGGAGTTCCTGAGAAGATTGTCAATATTATACGGAACTCATACGACGGACTACAGTGCAAAGTAGTGCATGGAGGACAGCTGACAGATGTATTCCAAGTAAGGACCGGAGTCAGACAAGGCTGTTTACTCTCTCCCTTCCTCTTTCTTCTGGTGGTCGACTGGATTATGAAGACCTCAACATCTGAAGGCAAACACGGAATACAATGGACAGCTCAGAATCAATTAGACGATTTGGACTTCGCAGATGACCTAGCCCTCCTATCACGTACACACGAACAGATGCAGATGAAGACAGCCAGTGTAGCAGCAGTCTCTGCATCAGTAGGCCTCAGCATACACAAAGGGAAAACCAAGGTCTTCAAATTCAAAGCGGAAAACAGCAATCCAATCACTCTTGATGGCGAAACTCTGGAAGATGTAGAGTCCTTCACATACCTGGGAAGCATCATCGATAAACAAGGAGGTTCAGATGCAGACGTAAAGGCGAGGATCGGCAAAGCAAGAGCCGCATTTCTACAATTGAAGAACATATGGAACTCGAAACAACTTTCAACCAATAACAAAGTGAGAATCTTCAATACGAACGTCAAGGCAGTTCTACTGTATGGAGCTGAAACTTGGAGAACTACAGCAACCACAGTCAAGAAAGTACAAGTATTTATAAATAGCTGTCTACGCAAGATACTCAACATCCATTGGCCGGATACCATCAGTAACAGCCCTTTGTGTGAGAGAACAAACCAGCTTTCCGCTGAAGAGGAAATTAGGAAAAGATGATGGAAATGAATAGGACATAGATTACGCAAATCATCAAACTGCATCACGAGGCAAGCCCTAACTTGGAATCCTGAAGGGAAGCGAAAAAGAGGAAGGCCTAAGAACACATTGCGTCGGATAATAGAAGCAGATATGAATAGGATGAATAACAACTGGAAGGAGCTGGAAAGGATTGCCCAGGACAGGGTTGGATGGAGAATGCTGGTGAGCGGCCTATGCTCCTTCACGAGGAGTAACAGGCATAAGTAAGTAAGTAAGTAAGTTCCGATTGTCACTGATATAAACAGAAGACACTGGGTTTTCGATTAATCTCGGACAGTACTCGTAATTATAGGATTCTGAATATATTATCACATAACCGATTCTTGAATAATCTGAAATAATCAGAATAGTTTTGATAAGAAAATTTGATTTTCATAATGCAAAGAGAAAAGCTTTTCTCTAGATAACAGATCTACATCTCGATTAAGAAAGTTCCCAATTTATGAATTATTTTGTCAAAATATATAATACATTGAAATTTATGTATCTACTTATTTCATAATCACTTTTATTGTTATCACTATTTTATGTTTTAAAAATGTTTATCTTTAAAACAATCAACTTATAATTATGAAATGTAATTTCATAGATAAATTTATATTTGTTGGCGAAATGTTAGTCAGTTCTTTATCCATTTTATATGTTAGATTAAACTATCTTTATTTGCCCATGAACTTACTATGATATATATCTAGAGAAAGAATTTCAGGTATAATAAGGTAATTTTAAAGTTGTCATGTTCATGTGTTCGTATTCTATTGACTGTTAACGTTTACAATTAAGTAAGAAAATCTCGTTTATCGATTCAAAGTCACCGCTTCCTTTTAGTGACTTGTTTAATAATGTTTGAAGTTTTAATGTATAAGTGATGGATTTAGCTGAGATTAATAACGACAAATGAAATCCAAGAGTTAATTTAAGCTTCAACAATAATAACATAGTAATTTAATTTATATGGAATAGATGAAATATGACTAGCAGTGAAATTCATGACGAACGTTTCATTCTAGTTGAGACTCGTTAGCTGGATAAATCAGTATCTTGGAGGTAGTGTTCACTTTGAGAATAGAATTCAGTAGCTGAGTAGACGATGCGGTGGCGTTTGAACAGACGAGTTCCAAATAAGACGAACCACCCATCCTTGATTAAACTACTAGTCATATTTCATCTATTCTATATAACCTTTTGTCATAATTTCTATATCGAGGCAATCGCACACGATATGTATATATCAACAAAAGCGGTTTAAATTTCAATCAGAATATCAACAGTGGGGTAATTCAACTCATTACAAATTAAACTGTAATTTAGTTTTCATCAATTACTTTTGTTATCAGTTTACAAATTACCAGATCCTAAACAAGAGTTGATCTCTTAGTTCATAAATTTCATTGGATATTCATGTAGACAATTATATATATACAAACTTGTATTGTTAATGATCTAATTATGGGACACCATCGAGATTTTTTTTCGAATACATAATAAGTTCAAAGTAAAAACTATGAAAACTCAAATTCAAATTAATGATCTAAAAACTGTCATAGAAACTTACAGTCATAAAGCCATTTATTTAATGAGAAAAAATATCGTAAAACTTAAGTTGTTATTTATTTTAAACACGTAGTTTGCTTCGTTTTTCAAAAGAAAGAAAAACAACTTAATAAACAGTTGTTCTATTATATTTTTATGTAGTTCTAAATGTGAATTTATTCTCATGACTGAAACATATACTGTGGTGTGCAGGAATTAAAAGTAGAATGTTTACCAGAAGAAGATTGAAATAAAGAGAAAAGGGAATTAAGGAGAAATCAGCATAAGAACAGGATTGGAAGAATCCTGGAGTAAAGTACGTAAAAGACAACTCAAGGAAGATATATACAAATGATTCATTTAATGCATGATTTTCATATTTTACAAAGGTATTAATTTACTATACTTGACTTTCCGTTCACTACAATACCACTAATATTCAGCCAACATCCAGCTACCTGAATGTATCATGAGAGCTATCATAGGAGTAGATTGGAAGAAAGATAGGAACAGCCAAACTCAAAAAACAAGAATACATTTATCAAGATAACAACTACTGGATTAAGTTGTGTTGGGAAATTTAGACTTCCTAGTTTAAGTTCAATTGATAGTTGTAATTAATGGTCAAGAATGTTAGATGAAATGATTCACAACAGATTTCACTTATGCGAATAGATCCATTTTTTCTCTTCATATAAATCTTGATATTAATTATTATTACATTATTTGAATCCTCTCATTCATCCGCTCTGTTCAATCATATTATCTTTCTTTAGGTTTTACAACTACTTACTCCACTATAAAAAAAACAGAAAAAAAGATTGTTCTTTTCAACAAATTCTCTTCTTCACTATTATCTTGATCTCATTGTTAATCTTGTTAATTTTATTATGTGAAGTGTAACAATGTAAATTGATATAGATTTACAGCACAACTTATGTTATATATTACTGACTGATTCAATGAGATCGATAAATTATGACACATTATGATTTTATATTTCACATGTATGATTTCACTATTCATGAATTCACATAACAAAGTGAATATGATGATTCGTTAAGATTTCTGTTCTCTTAGTTAGAACATTGAAAATACGATGTATACGATGTATCAAATTTGTGAAAATACTATAATGGATCATGAAAATCTCATGTAGTTATTATAAGAAAATACAAAACATTTGCATTTTTAAAGTACAAACGAAATGAAAAGGTTGATGTGCACACATTTTATTTGTTACCAAAGTACTTTCATTCAAATTGGTTACTTTCGATTGACTAATATATCCATTTCGTTGACTTATAAGGAAAATTGACATTATTTCAATTTTATCGTATAAATAATTGATCAGAAAATATAATAATTGTTTTTTAGGTTCGATCCCCTAAGTAATCAGTAATAAGTAGTCACAAACTAGAACAGAAAAATCTATCTAGTTTCCCTATTTATTTAAATGAACTTTCAAATAAAATAATAAGCTTCAGCTGACTCATGATCTTAACCATTGAAATTACTATAATATCCACAAAAGCCATATGATATTAATCAACATATGCTCACTAGGGACTGGCTTCACGAGGTATATCCTGGAGTTCTAGTGAGAAGCAGTGACCAGTGGAGTTCAACCAGGTCTGTTGTGAGATTGTAACTCACTGAAGACAATGGTGGATGTGTCGCTCAATTTCGTGGATTAGTTGAAGTTAGACATTAATACCGCTGGATGCCGGCTCAGTGGTCTAGTGGTTAAGTGCTCGCACGCGAAACCAGTAGTTCCTGGGTTCGAATCTCGCAGGGGGGCGAGGTCTTGGATGCACAGTGCCGAGGAGTCCCACAATAGGACGAAACAGTCGTCCAGTGCTTCCAGGTTTTCCATGGTGGTCTAGTTTCAACTGACTCGTGATCTTAACCATTAAAAAAATTGTTTGAGTTACCTTTTTGTATGATCCCATATTTTAACTGTCCAATCGGCTGAACATGTAATAAATATATCAGGATGAAATAAATTCCAAGCTACACGATAAACAGCCATATGATGAGCTTCATAAGTGGCTAGATATTGAGATGTATATGCCTTGCTACATTTAAACACCATTCCCTCTTCTGTTGCTACAAGGAATATATGATTTTGAGTACGATGAAAATCGAATGCTGTACCGCAATCTGTCAATGAACAGAACAGGCAGTAAAGTGACAAAATATATGGTTGTTACGGTTAGTAAAGTTTTAAAAAGTTACTTCTGTGATTGTTATTGGTGAATTTTATCCAAATATAATTCTAGTAGTAAATATATGTTACTTATTATGTTGGTCACGCGATTTGAAACCTGTATATAATAATAAAAAACCACCCAATAGCCTCACATAACCATACAACATAGGTTCAAGAAATTGAGAAAATCCAGAAATTTAACCCAACCGAGTTTAAGAATGATATAATATAAAGACCATGTATAATTAATTATCTTAAACTCTGGTATTCTTGAGAGTCAGTTAGTAAGTTTGCTAGTTTTAGAGCCCTGAATTCAGCTATGGACACGGAGTATACAAAATTCATAGTAACTGTCTTAAAACGGTCTTTTCAAAATATTTACTGCTGAATTTTCAAGAAATTTTGTTGCCTAAGCAATCTATAATTGAGAATGTATGATTTTTGTTTTGTCTAGAGTTTAATTTTTCCTGTATCAAAACTCGTAATCTATGTAAGTGATAGAAATTTTCGTAGTTCATCTGATTATATAACTTTTATTGTGTTAAAGTTTCTGATTTTGGAATTACTATAATCAAGACCAATAAAATGTCAATTTTTCAAATCTGAACATCAATTATAATCCATTCGTATGTGATTACCCCTTAAAGCCTACACATTATTTTTTAAATACTTTTCTATCATAGGAATGCCCTTCTTGTTTCTTGTTTTCTACATATTCTCTACTGTTATTAATACTATTTTGAATGTTTTATCTTTTATTTTGTTAGTTTCTTCTAACTCGAAGTGTCTACATCTGTTCTGGGACTATCAATATTTATGTCTATCGTTCTGTACGTCCATAAATTAAATATCCTATTGTGGAGTCATATATACATATTCATTTAATTACAGATGAACGACACTCTTAAAGTCGACAATAGGTAAAGAATTTGAGTGATTGATTGAATGACTGATAAAGTGACCACTTTTTGAATTGATTTATCGACGAACTGAACGACTGCTTACAGTAACGCTTAAAATAATCATGAATTTCATCGTTTTTGGTCACACAACTTACTGCATCATATCGGTAAAAAGGAGGGCAATACTTAAAAGACTAAAAACTATAAATAAATGTTTTATCAGTGTCAATTTTTAAGCGTGTCAACCAATTGTTAGCTTCTCTCATGTCATCAATATTTAGTGTAACTTTCACACTAATTTGAATTTCTTTCTTATGTTTCGGGAATACTGAACACAACATTTAATTATTCAAACCCTGTTTGAGTTTACAATAAAACAATGCGTATATAAAATTACTCATTCAACATATAATTTACTCTAGTAGTTGGTCTTAGTCTGTGCTGCTATGCTATCCGTTCGTGATAACAGTTCTACGTATACATTATTAGGAATTGGTTTATGACTAAAACTATGTATTGTATTGGTTCGTGTGATACTCATAATGGGAACAGTTTTTAATAAATTAACACAACTTTTGTGTTCGAAAGTTTAGGTATTGAGATGATTTCATTTTAATCCCTTCCCAAAACATTTAGGATACTCACTACATACCATACAGCTGCAGAAAAAGATCGACCTCATATTGCACTAACAAAGGAAAAAGAAACTTATTCTTCGTGGCAAAGTTTTTTTTTGTTTAGATATCTTTTGCATCACAGTCATAATTTTGTGGCTGATACATTAGCTTCACTTTTAATTATCTCTGTTATTCAGACAAAATTGTAGTTTTACACATACTTTTTGTAGGTTGCATAGCATATGAAGTGATTCGGTTATTAGTTTCTCGAAATTTATATTTTGGTTAGTGGATATTTTTACGTAAAATCAAAATAAAATATTAGTGTGATTTCGTAATTAAATGTAGTTATCGAAGACAAAACGCTTGTCAGTCACAGATCTACGTTAGTAAGCAACTTAGGTGATACAAAAGGACACCTTAACAGAGAAACTTATTTATTCTTATTATAATACGTTTTTAAATAGCAGTGTGATTTTTGCTTCCTTATATAAATATCTCCTAGTTCTAAAAATTGCCATTGGAATCAATGCATAGTTGTATTTAAATACAAATTCACCTTTTTAAAGGAATCAGGTCGTGTTTTATATGCTACTTTTTGAAATATTCAACAGAATTCGGCACATGTTATGGACAAAAGTACTCTGAAGTAGGTTTTTTTCTTATTCAGCACCAATTGTTATTTTGAACCAATTATACCAAAATGTTTTGGTTGTATTTTTCTTGATTGATAAAAATAGAGTGATTCAATTTTACTGAATATTTAAGTTTGCAAAAGTTGATAGGTCTGCTACTAATACTGCATGCTTAATAACTGTCAAGAGGACTTGAGTACAATCAAATAGCTGATTAGTGTACAGAGTACACTTATTAAAAGTTTTATTACGCTTAAGAATAATTTATCCAGTATTCTCTAATCGATCATCTGTTTATTCTGAAGTAAAATGTATCAGATAATGATACTTATTGCAGACTGTTTATAAAACTCATCACCCAAAACATCAAAGTTCATCTCATCACTTAGATTCTTATCAGTGTTACTTTATTTTAGACCGTCTGGCTACTTTAACTATATGTAAGTAGTATAATAGCATATCCAATGGAGAATGATGGTGGGAGGCCTATTCTCCTCCACAAGGGATAACAGGCGTAAGTAAGTAATAATAGCGTATAAAATATTTTATTCGAGGTTCATGTTTTAGTTTTCTGTTAACTTACCTAGAGTAATTAATCGAGATTGTTCGATGCTTTCTTTAGAATTCGCTATCATCTTTAATATCACTGCATCAAATTTACCTATATCATTCTACAAATAGAGATTAATACAAGAAGCAATAGAGGATAAAGAAGGATGACAAGAAAATTATGTCTTAAAGACGAAGACAGCTTACAACAAGTGGAATTATCTCGGAAAGCAAACTTTCTATTTATTGATACATTTTTTTTTCAAAACACCCCTCAATAAACACAATTACATTTGGATTGTTTAATATCTTATTCAAATGCATCCAATTATCACTATTAGGATGTAGATGAATTTAGTTGACAGAAAATATTTAGCAGTTATTCAACTTTCATCACTTTCTCATCTTTATACTAAACTAGAATACAAATGATTGTTAGAAATGTTAATTCTTTAAATACAACACATAAGAGAAAAAATGAATTTTAAACTTCATTCATTAATTCAGTATGAATTCTGTCCATTTACTTTCAATGAATTTCCATGTTTATACTTATAAATTCAGTTTATTGAATTGAATTGTATTTCATCGTATTTATTAGACCATCGCTATATCACATTCAAAAGATGATTGCTTCATAGATAAATTTCTCAATTAATAATCATTGAAATTTGATAATGTATAATTGAATTCTAGTGGATTGAAATATAATCATTCCTAGCCCTTTCAAATAAATATTCTAAACAAGATTTGTATTTCTGATTAACTGAGGTTAAAAGAATAGAGATTTTTTTTATTTGAATTATTGTTGTTATCTCATACGATAAAACGAATTAATTCATTCAATTTGAGAACATTGTTTATGAAACACTAACTCTGTTTATTGTTCAAGTTATTGATTCATTGCATAAATTTGAAACCAAGTACTACAATCCAACTTCTACAAGCTGTTAACAGTTTATGGTCGTATTCAAGCTTTAATGAGTTAGATTTGGATATATAATTCGTAAGTATGATAAATAAAACAAAACCTTATTAGTTAAAGCTTCAGTTGAGGAGTTACCTTTTTAGAGTTTTTAAGCAAAGTTGTTATTTGCAAAAACCACTGAAGAACTGTCTGTGACTAGAAGGAACTTAGCACCTGTTTAGTCCTAGTTCGAGACATTTTTATGAGAGGTATTCAGTATGCTACTTGAAATCGGTCATATAAGCTTTAGATCTGGTGATGAGCACATATTTACAGTTGAAAGGTCTATGAGTCGTCTCTATAGACATTGTGGTATTCATACTGAATAGAGTCTTTGTACAGACCAAAAGGATATTATTGGATGGTGTCCTAAGCTCCTGGTTTCCTTCATGGAAATAATTATGTTATATATTTTTTTGAGATATTGACTAAGTTTTGAAGACCACTTACTTGGTCAAGTATGTTAAGTTAAAATATGAGGACGTTAGCAAAATGTATGGTTCATCCTAACGAAAATAATAGCAACTTGTGCTTGAAAGCAAACCATACAAATACCGGCTGTCAGGTGTTAATCATATGTGTAGTCGACAGTTTTAGCCGAAAGCGAAATTATTTATATCAAACAAATTGTGAATGTAACAGTCATATCTATCTTTTCTGTTTATGATACTTCAGGTATCTTATCTTTTAGGTGGCTGAATATAAAATAAAACAAAATATACAAAGTATCTTGCTGATGATGTCTCTGTTAAAAATAACCATATGAGTTTTGTGACTAAATCATACAGTGTTGTAATGTCTAGTACCCAATTCAGCCGGACTTTGTTTACTTGCAATTCCGATTAGGAAAATTGGAACAATAATAATAAAATCTTTAATCTACATGTTTTTATAGCTTTTAACAATATTGGTATTGTGTATACTATGAATCCTATTTTCCGTAAAGGAATTATACCAGTCACTTTCACTAACTTTAATCAGTGTCCATGATGTAACTCGCCCATCTGCACTAACAGAAAAGAAATTTAAATTTGCATCTGAATCATTCGGTTGCCAGCGAACTTCCCATACAGGATCTGTATGTTTACCAGTTCTTGCTGTACTTAAATATAATGGTCCATTTTTATGTTGTAAAATACTATAAACTCCAACTGCTCCATCATAAAATCCAACACAAAACATATAGGGCAGTGATGGATGTAAGTCCAATGAGAGTACACCTGATTCTGTCTCAAGGTAATATTCTGGGTAACTTGGATTTTTTAGTGTATATGCACAAATAAGGCCGTTGGACTGTTTCAAAAAATCATCTAATAAATAACGAAGACAAGAAATTATGAAGTATAGACTACATTTGAATTAATTACTGATAGTTCAACTTAAAGTATGAAATTCTTTCAACATATTCAGGCCACAAATTGTCCATATTCAAGGTATATTATTCATTGGTTCATATCTGTATTCTTTATCTTTAAAGTGCTCTTGTACGTCAACCTGAGTATGAAAGAACTTAGTTTTAACTTCGAAAATACACTTTGAAGCAGTGCTAAATTCCTTAAATTTTCTTGCTTGAATGAGCTTTTAATGACCATTTTTAGAACTTTATGACAGAAATCTAGTTTATGGAATCATTGATCAATGTTAAGACTAACAAAGAACTGGAGTTTTTATTGTCATGCATTAGTGACAATGATGCAATTGGATTCTTAGTTTTATAGCATTATCTTGGCGAACAATTAATAATGTTAGAAGAAACATTTTTAATTTCATAGAATCATGAAATATGTTCTGGTTGAATAGTATAGCTGAGCACTCTCTTACACCGAATTGCTGAATTGATTTAACAGACGGTTATTAATTCTGTCGTTTAATCACGTACAAATAGTTACACGACTGAATTATTTTGTGGTAGTAGATACTAGTTGGGATACTACTTTTAAAAAGTTGCAGAATTATATATTTTTTCCTATTTGTCATTCATATTTCTGTTAAAAACCATGATGCTACAGATTATTTACTTTATTTTCGGTTTGAAACAGAAAAATATTTAGGATTTTATAGTAGTCTAAAAGTCATGACAAAATGTCGTCCCCTACACATATTCTCATTCAGCAATCAATCCTCAGATACGGTTTTATGAAAATGTATGCAGTAAACATTTATCCGTCTGTTTATTAAAATGTGACTTACATGACCCATGACCAACTGCAAAAAGATCACTGTATTGGGATGACCAGCACAACGACGTTACAGCAAGTTTTCTTGCTTTTTCAAAAGAAAATGACCACAGGGGTAATAAGGTACCCTGGTTGTCTCTAAACTCATCTGAAGGGTCTTCATAGTACTTAAAATCCTGAGCAATCTCGTCATGTGTATTCTGGTTGATCATGCGTTCAACGATTTTAAGGGGTTGTGCAAACCGACTTAATTCATCTCCCTAAAATAAAAATTTTTAAATGATGCATTGATAAGTGTTAGAGAGCATGTACAAAGATTATCGGACGTAAAACGTCAGCTTACGAAACATTTCTGGAGAAGGATACAGTAATATCACACCGTTAACCTAAGTAAACACAGAATTACACTTTTTTGAAATCAGCAGATAGATTTATTTTGAGGTTTCGAAGTAAAATCAGCTTTTCGAGCATTATTTTTTACTATATCACTGCTACATTTTATTGGTCACATTCAATAGTTTTGAAACCAATCAAACTAGTATTTCTTGCCTACTGAATAACGTAGACTGAATAAAATACTTGTAAAACGTCAATAATGAGCAATTTTGAATCTCCGATTAATGTTCTATTTGTCTGAGCTTTGGAGGTGTTTACCAGCCAACAGTGATAATGCTGACTTTTATTTGTAAAATGAGACTGGGTTGGGTCGTTAGAATAATCACAAGAATTTTCTATATATCTTCCGTCGTGATATTCGTTAGATTTGCATGGGACAGTGAAAAACTCAATTCTAATCGGCTAACTAATGAGACAGACCCTAAAATGTTTGGTTTTTTAATCACTTTTAACTTTAGCCTTTTCGTATATCTATAAAACATTGTAACTTTGAAATCTTGATGAGACATTTTGTGTAATCTCGATTTTGTAAACGCTATACTTCTACTTTATTTGCAAGAAGACCTTAAAATGATGAGGTTTGTGTGACCCACTAGAAACACTTGACAGTCAATAGTCGGTTGCACACAAAACTTTTAATTCTTGATTTCTAAGCCGTTAAGCTTAATGATAGTGAAAGGCACTTTTCAGCTAGATCACATTTCATGTAAATAAAATGAGTTTTTGTGAACACGGTGTGATCCTTACATATCTTCTACTATCTGTGTTTTTATTTTTCAGTGAGGTGAATTGTCGTATTTCTATCACATCCATTATTCTACGCATTAATTTGGCATTCGAAGTAACCAAGAAGACAATATTTTCTATGAACAGCATAAAATAATTAAACTTATACAGTCAATTTCAGCACAAACTTTTGACACGGAATAAGAACTCAAGCTTAATTACTAACCGTGAGGGAAAACTTGGAATACAAGCGCCGGATATTGATATTAATATAAGTTCTAATAAAAAATATCCCTTGTTTGCCCTTCATCTTTTGCGAAATGGACATCTTCAAGCTCATTAGCGTGTATATGATTTAAAGATATCAGAGAGCAACATAAACTAGCACAATAATAGAAATTCAATCTGCCTAAAATTTCATCCCACTGTTTCTACATGATGAACAAAAAGGAATAAGAATCAACCGTAAAGTTCACAAATTTTCTGCAAACTTATTCAAGAAATTGTGATAGATTAACATAAGCTTTATCAAAATGAATACGTCTTAAGTGCAAACCTTTCACAATAATGATGAATATGTAGTACACCATCATTATATTGTTTGTTTTTTTTACTTAAATAAATTAAAAGCAAAAAAACAACACATTTTAAGTAAAGATGTATGGTAACAAGCAGTGGAATTCAAGGAGCTCGTTTTGTTTTATACAGGTTTCGTCACCTAGATGCACCTGCCTCTCAGAGTCGGTGTTCACCTCAGGACTCTAACATAGTACCTTACGCCTCAAACTTCATGGAGTTGTTTATCTAACTAGTGAATTCAGATGGTCACTGGCTTGTGTGGTGGGGTGAATTTTTATTACCATATGTTGGTTTTCTGGATCCCTTTGATGTTAAGGAATTGATTAGCCTGTTTCGGGATATACGTATCCTGCGCTGATTGCCTCGGCAATATCAATAATTAACGAGCCTTTTAAACGGAAACGAACGGTAGCTAATTATCTGGATGTACCTGCACCACTGGTCAACTACTATCCTAAACATTAATGGAGAGACTCAGTGATGTGGTGGTGATGTTCCAGCCAGATTGGTTGGTGAATATTTTCTGGTGAAGCCCTTCTGGAATGAATTCAAAGTTTTCAAGACTCACGAATACACCACGTGGATGTGGTTTTGCGGAAAGCCGCGGCTTCTCAGGTCTTTACGTGTACCTCGGTATCATAAGAAGAGTAAGTAGAGGATTTTGAAGTTTTTAATTACGCTGGATAGGTATAGTCTACATGCATACCAGGCAAAACACGAACTTTTATCTATGCATTCCTTGATATACACGCACGTAGACCTACTCTGTAAGCAAATATACTTCACATGCACACCAGTAAAACACAGGGTTTATCCCATGCATCCCATTGTACAAACATAGGTATATCCACCCACTTGGGAGGGTAGATGTTCACCGCTCCCTTTGAGACATATTTGTTTTAACGGACTGTCTCATTCACATTGCATGCATATCACTCAACTCATAGCTACTGCCGCAATGCTTCCTGACATATACATGAACATAAGCGTTCTCTCAAGGGAGATTGTCATTCGCCTCTTCCTAGTATGTGGTACTATATCTTTTTACCATGTCCTCTACCTGAAAGATTAGGCCGCTGATTGTACAAGACATAATTCAAATAATATTTCAACTAACGTTTCCATTGTACGACACCAAACACGTACCCTTTGCATATAGCTACATACATGAACTAAATAGGCTTTTGAACTTCTGTTTTTCATATACATAGGCATGCACATCAGTTGGCCCGGCGCGGTTATGTAAGCCTCAAGTTGAAACCCAAGTTGATCAAGGATACAACAGAGTTAGTGGTCAGTCTGATATTGTCGACAGCCTAAGTTGTCTGGCAAGGTTTCTCCTACTATACAGCAGCTCTGCAAGCAGGCTTTAGGTCGGAGTTTGCTCCCAAAGAGACCCAAACGACCAACATATACGAACTAAAACAAATAGTACAGTTTATTTTTTCTTTCGTATGTTCTCGTAAGCTGTTCACGAGATTAACACACAGTATTAGTCATCCTTTGCATTTTGATTTTAAAGTCACCTATGTTTACGAACAGGTGGTATGTTATACTTTAGTACGAATCTGGTTTTAAGGACCCGATGAGAAACCATGAAATAAAAATGGATTTATATCATTCTGTCAGTTGTTATACCTACTTTGTCAAAATGATTTCCTTCAAATAGGAACAACCAAAAAGACGTCCAAAGACCCTCATCTTAATGAAGTCTTGTTACTGTGGGTATAAGCAGTGGTAAAGATGGATGCAGCAGTATCATCCAAGCACTTGATAATCATACCATGGATACATTAAGTATTTTCAAGTAATTGTTTGGTTATTAATATATATCCTTTTTAGGGCACTCAAAAACAACAGTTTATCATTCATTAGGAGCCACTATAGAGCAATGTTAAGTAAACCTGAGCATTTTTCATCGTCTTCAGAAAAAATACAATCATTTGAATCAAAACAGAGTCGCGAAACGTTTCATCATCCCTTTTATTCGAGTAAACTGAGGTTCTTGAAGATTTAGTGTGAAGTTACCTGTGTATCTCCAGAGATAACCTTTTTGTGCGCTTTATTTTCCTGCTTGTGACTCACACCTAACAACTTCTTATCTTTGTTTTTCTCCTGCTGTCTATCAAAATCTTCTATGTAGTCATCATAAATGCTCCACTGTGTAACGTTAGCTGAAAAGTTCGCCCTTGGAGGGGGCTCTGTAACGCTTCCCCTATCCTAATAGCGATTATACTTTTTAAAAGACATACCCGCTGAGGGTTATTATATGTTTGGGTAGACCTTTCACAAAAGTTGAACTGGTTAGTGACTTTCTTTTGAGGTAATTGAATATCACTCTCTCTCACAGCAGCTGCAGGCTTTTGGAGAAACGTACAAACGCGAATATAGATACTTACCTCCTTGTTATGTTCTTCTGCCTGTAACTCTAACTCAGAAGTAATTAAATAAGATTCTTTTACCTTCAGGCTGCATAGTACCATCTCTAGCTATTTGTCTTCTGGCTTCATCGGAATCAAGGGGAAGCATGTAACTTTCATGCCAAAAGTGGATAGCCATTTGATCCACTTGAGGTACTTGTATGTATTGACCATCCTATGCTTAATTTATACGGGAAAAATATACGTTTACTTTAAAATTATACCTCACAATGTTTTGAGGGGCATGAGGATTGGTGGAGGTCAGAACCCTAGTAATCTCTTCCTTCAGTTCCTACAAACTTATAATTTTGAAGTAATCAAACCTGCTCAGACAACTGAAGTTGGTCTTCAGGTTTCAAAGCAGCACGCACACCATAATCATCCATATCCTCACGCAAAATGGATTCGAATTCGTCACCACCCTGTTGACTCTTTCTTTGCTGCTTTTTTGATACCTTTAAGAACAAAACATGATTATTTTGATGACAGACATACTCGTCTTTTAAGTTCAAGTTTCATGATGTAAGTATTGATAAAATCAAAGTCTTGTCAAGGTTGACGAATAAATGTTATAGTAACAACTAACATCGGAAGGTTTAAACAAAAGCTTCAAACAACAAAATTCTGTACAAGTCATTTTTCAACTGTACACATTCATGAGGCTAGTGCTTTAAACTTATATCATTAACTGAACTCAAGCTGGCGAAAGTTATGTAAAACACTTCGTCTACTGATTGCAGTTGTGAAGTTAAAAACCTTCAGTTTTTTCGACAAATAAGGGGTAAAGTGAGTGCAAACAATTGAACATTAGTTACTCCATTATAAACGCTAACTTACGTGTTCGTCATAGCTATTATCTATATCATGAAAGATATTATTTCTTGAGAATTATCAACTGAAATATGGTTTTGTGTGGGAGGCTTTTTCTAAATCTCCTGTCAGGTTATAGTTGAACCGCGTTACTTTAGTTGACAAATTTTTTGGAAGTGCTTCGTATGAAACGACTTTATATTCAAGGCTAGTCCTTGACTAACGAAAAAATTGATCAACATTTTTTACTTGAATGAGGACATTGGTGCATCTATTGTTTGTTACATTAATTAATAGGTTATAAAGCAGTGAGAATTGTAGCGGTAAATAAATCCCCAAAATAAATAGCACTAAGTTTCCGACATTGGATGCTGACCATATGTTTTAGTGGACTCATCTAGCTGAAGGCGCTCGGTCAGGCATCCGCACCAGATCACGTGTGGTAACGCCGTGCTCAACATCTACCGCATTCGCTAGCCAGATAAGATCAGAGAATTCCGATATTTTGGTAATCGCCAAATACACTCTTCCGATCTCCTCGACTCTGTCTTTTGATTTCTCTCGGTGGGTACAAATCATATTAGAAGGTGTTACTGGTAGAAGCGTTGTCAAACACTGAATACCTGTGTCATCTTCAGAATCTTTCAATTTCTGAGTTTACTTGAATTGGCGTACAGTGTTAAATTAAAAAATAGGTGGCACGGATCACCTATCAGTTGTGGGACGAATTATTCCTTTGATACTTATGCTAACCGAATAGTGAGAAATATTTATATTGTTGGACGGAGTTTTTTTGTGTGGTGCTTTCTCTATTTTGAGTCAGTGACGCAGAGTTTTTTTAAGGATGATGCGTTAAGTAGACTGCATCTTTTGCATACAGGTTAAGCTTGTCAAATTCTTGAAACTACCTCAGAGTGTATCAAGTTGAAGATGCCACAGGTATTTGGAGTTTGACAACGCTTTAACCAGTAACACCTTCTTACAATAATCGTACCCATCAAATAAAATCGAATGACATAAGTGAGGAGGTTCGAAGATATAATTGATAGGTTATCAATTTATCGAGGACCGACTGATCTGATCTGGCTAGCGATTGCAGGCGATGTTGAACACGGCGTTCCCATTCATGATCTGGTACGGATACATGACCGAGCGCCTTCAGCAAGGTGAATCCATTAAAACTAGTGTGGTCAGCACTGAATGTCTAAGGCTTACAGAGCTATTGATTTTGGGGACTTATCTACCGCCACAGATCACTTCCTCCTCCTTGTGGGGCAGTGATGACCAAACCCAAATAGTTTGTCGTTAGTAAGCACTCTTCTGACAGCTTGCCATGTTCAGCAGTGTCTAGACGTCTTTCCTTACTTTAAGGGACCATGCGGCAAAATATAATAATAAAAGAAACATATACAATGAAAATTTCGGTTCATCGTAAACTTTGTCTTTCTTTTTTCGTCTTTTCCAGCCGTCCTGGAAAACAAAACGGGGATATGTAAGTGCACTTCGAACCACGCTCGTATGCGCGTAAAGAGAAATCGGCGAAAAAAAGAAAATAAACACATGTACATGCGATAGCATAAGAACGGTTTTGACATGATGTTTTCTGTTTTAATATACATATATTAGCTAGTATATTAGCAAAAATATTGTTGTTTCGAATAAATATTTAAC